CTAATTGAAAGATCCTGAGATTAAAAAAAACCAAACAAACCACATTTAGTTATAAAGTATCATCTTCAAAATTAAGGTAATTTGGGAAAACTCATTTCCTCCTGAGGTATCTTGCTCATTTTCTAGGTTTCCAATTGTATTTCCTCTTTTTAAATCTATGTTCCCTACATTTTTCCCTGCATGGTAAAGTAACTTGGGAAAAGATCGGAAATTTCCTTTGTGTTTTTCTAAAAACAAAATTGAAAAGGAACAAGTTAGCTAAAGAGAGACAAAAAAAAACATCCTCCAGTTTACCTCAGACGTTAATTTTAAAGCAACATATTTCTAATCACAGAGTGGCTGAGGTGGGAGGCATCTCTGGAGATCGTCTAGTCTAAACCCCCCAGCTCAGGCAGGGTCAGCCAGAGCAGACTGTCCAGGACCGTGTCCAGTTAGGTGGCTTTTGAGTATCTCCAAGGATGGAGGCTGCACCACCTCTCTCTGCACGACCCATTCCAGCACCTGACCACCCTCACAGTAAAAAAAGTGCTTCCTTGTGCGCAGATGGAATCTCGCGTGCTTTAATTTATGTCCACTGCCTTGCGTCCTGTCGCTGGGCACTGCTGAGAAGCGTCTGCCTTGTCTTCACTCCCTCCCATCAGGTATTTTTAGGCATTGGTAAGATGCCCCTGGGCCTGGTCTCCTCCAGGCTCAACAGCCCCGGCTCTCTCAGCCTCCCCTCACATGTCAGATGCTCCAAATCTTTAACCACCTTTGTGGCCCTTTGCTGCACTCTCCCCAGTAAGTCCATGTCTTGTACTGGAGAGCCCAGCACTGGACCCAGCACTCCAGGTGTGTCTCACCAGGGCGGAGCAGAGGGGAAGGACCACCTCCTTCAACCTGCTGGTGATGCTCTGCCTCAGGCAGCCCAGGAGGCTGTCGGCCACCCTCGCCACAAGTGCTAGTTGCTGGCTCGTGGTCAACCTGGTGCCCACCAGGACCCTGAGGGCCTCTTCTGCAAAGCTGCTTCCCAGCAGGTTGGCCCCAGCCTGCCCTGGTGCCTGGGGCTGGTCCTTCCCCAGGGACAGGACTTGGCATTTCCATTTGCTGAACTTCTTGAGGCTCCTCTCAGCCCATGTCCCCAGCCTGCTGAGGTCCCTCTGGATGGCAGCACCACCCTCTGGCCTGTCAGCCACTGCTCCCAGCTGTGTGTCATCTGCAGACTTGCTGAGGGTACTTTCTGCTCCGTCATCCAGATCATTAACGAAGTTGTTGAATAATACTGGCCCCAGTACTGATGCCTACAGCACACCACTAGTGACTGGCCTCCGGCTGAACTTCGAGCTACTGATCACAACCCTCATCTTCACAATTTACTACCCGTTCCTTTTTTTTTTTAAACCACAGGCAGAGAAGTTCTTACAGAGACAGTCACTGGAGAAGCCCCAAGACTCACAGCACGAGAGCCGTAGAACTGGGCAGAGGACACAGCGATTCTCCTACCCCATCTGCTGCTGTAAATCCAGCCTCGCAAAGCCCTAGGACCTGTGACCATCGGGCCAGCAGTCCTCGAGGCCACCCCCCGCTTTCTGACAGCACCCAAACAACGATGCTCTAGGCGGCAAAAAAAGCAAGCACACCGCAGCAACCAACCGCTCGGGGTTTTACTACTGCACCTGCCAAGTTCTGTGCGCGGGTTTGAAATTAAAACACATCCTCGGATTAAAAAAACAACCCGAAGTAGCAGGAGGGTATTTACTACTGCTAGGCTGAACAGGGCTCCCAGGGTTACCCCGTACCCTGCTCCCGAGTGGCTACAAACGCTCCAGGCC